GGATATTTTTCATTCAGAAAGGAAGCTGAGAGAAGAACATGGAATGTGTCACAGAACCAACAGGGACCAACAACTGAATTCTGTTGCTGTCAGAATTGTCATTAGTTCATTTTACATGGTCTTACCATCCCTGGAAATTGCCTAGGTTCTTTTGGTGCCAGAACAGTCTTTACTATTCCCAATGATGCAGTGCGAAGTGGCCCAGTCATAATGCCATGATCCAGGTCTCTCCATCACAAGGGAGTGGATATCATCCAGCTTGTACAAGTATTCATCATGATCTCCAGGGGATAGATGAAGTAGTACTTCTTGATAAGTATAACCATTATAAGTATTGACAGTCTTCACAACAGAGTCAGCTTTCTGTTGCAGCTCCAGTGCAAGCTCTAGCGTTAACTCTACTTCTCCCAAGGACGGTCGTTCACTTGCCTTTGGATGAAGGCAACTATAAGCAATCTCCACAAATTTTACTAAACAATCAGGTGCTATTTTCCCTCTCAAATATGGATCAATGATATCATAAACGTTGCCAGCTCTCAAGCATTTATAGCTCCAAGCAACTAGATTGCGTTCTGGAAAAAATCCATACTCATCATATGCCAATCTACCGCATAATACTTCAAACAGGATAACACCTAACGAGAACACATCACATTTTTCACTAAGTTCACCATGTCTGGCATACTCTGGAGCCATATAAATGATAGTACCTGCAATTCTTGACTCCATTTTTATGGAAGCCTTTGGCTTTGCCGTGCTAAGCGGACCAATCTTGGATAGCTCAAGATGAGAAATCTTAACTACCCAATTTTCACCTAGAAGAATACTGGCACTCTTGAAATCTCGGTGGATTATAGCATACTTTGCTCCAGTGTGCAGGTAATGCAATCCACGAGTTGCTGCAATACATATCTTTAACCTCAGCTTCCATGGGAGCATATGAGCAGGCATACGTTGGATGATATGAGCACGCAGCGATCCATACCTCATATATTCGTACACAAGAATCATCTCCCCTTTCTCATTACAAAAACCAATAAGGGAGACAATATTGGGGTGGCGCAGCTGGCAAAGCAACTCCAACTCGGTTCTGAACTCTTCAACTCCACTATGAAATGACTTGGACTTATTAAAGCGTTTGAGAGCAACATCCAAGCTTCCGTGACTCCCATCGTCGATAATTCCTTTGTATACTGTTCCAAAAGTACCTTCAGCAAGAATCTTATTCTCGTGGAAGCTGTTGGTGGCAGCTTTGAGCTCAGCTAATGAAAATTGACGACATAATTTCTCTAGAATTGGTGAAGGTTGTCTTCTCATTACTTTGAATCTTGCTTTGCCTAACATTTCTTTGAGAAATTCAAATGAAGGTTTGAGAGAAATGGACAGATCTTTCATGGTTATGGAAGGAAGATTTTCTTGGTTATGGTGGAGGAACAAATTGTACTTTCATGGATTTAAGGGTTACGGCCGATCTAAATATTAAATATTGGTCTTGCCTCATTTTTCCATGGATTAATGTATGTGTATTCTTCGTTTTGTAGTTTTACTTTTCCTATGTATAAGCTGGCTTCTTGCTGAGATGAGAAAGTCACATTCGACATTGGCAGCTTGAAGATGCCCAGCCGGTCCGGAAGAAGTCATATTCATACATTTGATAAGGGAAGTCACAGTGATTGGGGGCCGGCGTGGGGACAAAAAACGTCACAGACAACATTAAAGCCTAAACTGAATATTTAAAATTGATTAAATTAATCATTTAACATGAAAATCAAACAGTTATGCTATACTTAGTAAAATTATAAATTTATAATCATAAAATAATATTAAATAAGTATGATTTATTATTAAATAAATAGATATATATAATATTAAAGTTAAGTTTTAAATAAAAAATTAATTATATAATAATACATTACATTATAAATTTATAAAATTATGTGATATTATACCTATAATAGTTTTAAAAATTAAAATAGAAGAGATCAAGATTCAGAAGTATGATTGTAAAAACAGGGAGGGAGAGAGATTCGTTTACAGCAAAGTAAAAATGAACAAAGATTTAATTGTAACAAAATAAAGATTACAGACTGAATTGAAACTTCATTAAGAAATTGGAGATAAATATATAATTTTC